GTAGGATTGGGAGGGGTGTAAGGACGTGAAGCCCCCCCCCCAGATATATCTCTGGGGGGAGATCAGGGTGGACCCCAAGTCTTCCTGGGGGTGGGGGGCCACGCTGGAGAACCCCCAAATCATCCCCTTGGGGGCTGGCTGCAAGGGGAGACCCCCAAATAATCCTGAGGGTGGGGAGGGGGCTGCGAATGGGGACCCCCAATTCTTCAGGAGGGTGGGCAGTCGCCATGGGGGACCCCCAAATAAAAGCATTTGTGTATTGGCCTCGTATCTCTGTGGTGGGGATGAAGCTCTGTGGGTGGAAGAGCCTTTTTTGGAGAAAACACAAAAAAATCTCCAATTTTGGAGGGCTGGGAGCATCTTCTATGCCCGGAGGGTGATAGTCCCCACTCCAGGTCTGGGGTGGAGACCCTGGAGCTGGGATGAGGCTCTCCATCACTCTTCATTTCTCTTGGACAAGGCTGAGGGTTCAAACCAACCCGTGGATGAGGTTTCTTTGGTGCCCATGGTTGTGTCACGTCCTGTGATGTGGCCACTATAAGCCCACGTGTCCTCCTCACTCTCCACCCACCCGTGGACTTGTCCCCCCCACTCCCATCCTTACACCACCACTGGGAAAACTCAACCCTGGAGATGACCGAGCTCCACTTTGGATGAAAATGAGATATTTTGGGCTCAACGAGGTCAAACCAAGGAGACGAGTGGAGGAAAAGTTCATTGCGGTTGGGTTGTGGTTTATTTTTGGCAGCACAAAGGGAGCAAGAGCAAGACGTGGAGCTGGGCCATGTCCATCTCTGTCCCTAAGATGTTGCTGGAGCTTCTGAAGTCTTTTGGCCAACTCAAGAGTTGACTCATCCAAAGACAGGTGGGCAGGACAGAGGTTCCACCACCAAAACCCGTTACGTGAGGAAAAATAAGCAATAAACAAGAAGAACTCAGCTTGGTGGGTCCCAACAGGGTTGTGGGACCATTTTCATCCCATTTCTTCCTTCCTGAAGAAGCCGAGTGTCTTCAAAATCTTGGTCTGAGCCCAAATCCAACCACCATTTGGCTGTGGAAGAAGACTGTGGTCCATCCGGTCTTGCTTGATGCCACCAGAAGAAATGATTGGACCGAGCAGATGTGACTTATGGGGGTCTAAAGCCAATGTGTCTTCTTCCTAATGAACTTCTGCCCCACAGCTGAGCCCGCCTCAGCAAATGGATGTTCCTCCCTCCATCCAGGTCCCTGTGGGGAATGAGGAAGATGTGGGGACCACCAACCACATCTCTACCCAACATGGGTCACCAAGACTCTACCCAACGTGTGTCCTCCGATGGGTAATGAAGTTGGAACAGCGGATAAAGCTCTTCCCACAGTCGGGACACTCGTAGGGCTTCCCTTCCCGGTGGGTCCTTTGGTGTTTAATCAAGGCAGAGCTGACGGTGAAGCTCCTCCCACACTCGGGACACTCGTAGGGCTTCTCCCCGGTGTGGATGCGTTGGTGGGTCATCAGGTTGGAGCTGCGGTTGAAGCTCTTCCCGCAGTCGGGGCAGCGGTAGGGCCTCTCGCCCGTGTGCGTCCGTTGATGCCTGATGAGATCCGAGCTGTTCCGAAACCACTTCCCACAGTCGACGCACCGATAGGGCTTCTCCCCGGTGTGGACCCGCTGGTGGATGATGAGGCTGGAGCTCTGGCTGAAGGTCTTCTCGCACTCCTCACACTTGTAGGGCCTCTCCCCGGTGTGGATCTTCTGGTGGCGGATGAGGTAGGAGCTGACGCTGAAGCTCTTCCCGCACTCGGGGCACTTGTAGGGTCTCTCCCCGGTGTGGGTGCGTTGGTGGGACGTGAGGTTGGAGCTCTGGTTGAAGCCCTTCCCGCAGTCGGGGCACTTGTAGGGCTTCTCCCCGGTGTGGAGCCGTTGGTGGGTGATGAGGGTGGAGCTGTCGCTGAAGCTCTTCCCGCACTCGGGACACTTGTAGGGCTTCTCCCCCGTGTGGAGCCGTTGGTGGGTGATGAGGTGGGAGCTCCTGCTGAAGGTCTTCCCACACTCCAAGCACTTGTAGGGCTTCTCGCCAGCGTGGAGCCGCTGGTGCACCACCAGGTTCGAGCTCCGGCTGAAGCTCCGACCGCATTCCTCACAGATGGTGGGTCTTTCCTCCTCACAGCTTCTGGGGGTGGGTCTGCAACCTCTCCCTGGGGTGCATCTTCTGGGCTTTTCCACCCTGTTGACTTCCCGCTCCATGGAATCCTTCAGAACAGCTTCTTCCGCAAGGTTCTGCTGGTGGGGTTTCTCCTCCATCTTCTCCAGCCCCATCTCATCGCCTGCTGGAGGAAGGAACAAGGAGAAGATGGGGATTTCCATCCATGCCAGAGGGAAGGAGAAGGAGATCCTCCTCCCAGACCCATCTCCAGGAGGATGACGCCACCAACAGGGTTGTCCTACAGCCAGAAGAGATGCTCAACTGGGAGATGGATGAAGATGAGAGATGGAGAAGAAAGGATGAAAGGTTGAGTGAATTCCTCCTCACCTGCCCGGGTGTCTCGTAGCATCTCCTCTTCCTCACAGCCTCCTCCTCGATCTGGCCAAGCTTTGGGAAGGGGAAATCCTGGGTTTTGGGGGGGAAAAAACAAGCTGTGAGTGTGTTCCCCAGTTTGGGTTGTCGGTTGTTCCTGCCCAAGTCCATCGTTACTGGGAAGTTGACGGGCAGGACACCAGCAACTTCTCATGTCCATAAAACCTTCAAGATACAACTCATAAACCCCTTCAGAACACCAAGATACAGCCCCAAAACCCTCCAGAACACCAAGATACAGCCCCAAAACCTTCAAAAAGACCAAGATACGGCCCATAACCCTCCAAAACATCAAGATACAGCTCATAACACTCAAAAAAACCAATATATAGCTGAACCCCCCCCAGAACACCAAGATACAGCCCCAAAACCCTCTGAAACACCAACATACAGCCCCAAATCCTTCAAAAACACAAAGATACAGTCCAAAACCCTCCAAAACACCAAGATACAGCTCATAACCCTCTAAAAAAACAATATACAGCTGAAAAAAGGGTCCAAACCACCAAGATACAGCCCCAAAATCCCCCAAAACACCAAGATGCAGCCCCAAAAGCATCAAAAAGACCAAGATACAGCCCATAACCCTCCAAAACATCAAGATACAGCTCATAACCCTCCAAAAACCAATATACAGCTGAACCCCCCCCCAGAACACCAAGATACAGCCCCAAAACCCTCTGAAACACCGACATACAGCCCAGAATCCTTCAAAAACACGAAGATACACTCCAAAACCCTCCAAAACACCAAGATACAGCTCATAGCCCTCTAAAACTTCAAGATACAGCTCATAACCCTCTAAAAAAACAATATACAGCTGAAAAAAGGGTCCAAACCACCAAGATACAGCCCCAAAATCCCCCAAAACACCAAGATGCAGCCCCAAAAGCATCTATAACCCTCCAAAAATAGGAAGATACAGTCCAAAACCCTCTAAAACACCAAGATACACCCCAAAAAACCCCCCCAGAACACCAAGATACAGCCCCCAAATCCTCTAAAACAGCAAGATACAGCCCAAAACCCTCCAAAACAAGAAGATACAGCCCCAAACACCACCCAGTTGTGGATGGGAAAGAACTGGGAGTGTGATGGAGCACCCAGTTGGACCCCAAGGGTTGGGGGTCTGCAACCAGCCCCCCCCCCAGGTCACTGCCCCCCAGTGTTGCACGGGGGGAAACTGAGGCAGGGAGCATGGACCCCCAAAAGGGCTCCAAGATGGGAGCTGTGGGGCCCCCGTTATTTGTGGGGGGGCAGAGCCTGGGTGGGGGGAGATGCTCCTGCCCACCCTGGGGACATGGGGGGGGCTGTGGGGCACTGGGGATGGGGTCCCCTTGCTTTGGGGTGGACCCCACTTTGGGGGTTCCACAGATTCAGGGTCTTGGGGTCCTTCAGCTCCTGCCCCCTCTTCTTTGGGATTCTGGGGGGTCCCAGGGGTCCCCCATCTCCGGTCTCCCCCCTTTCTGGGATCCTTGGGGGTCCCGGGGGTCCCCCATCTCCAGTCTCCCCCCTCTCCAGGATCCTGGGGGTCCTGGGCACCCCCCATCTCCGGTCTCCCCCCTCTCCGGGATCCCAGGGGTCCTGGGGGTCCCCAAGCTCTGGTCTCCCCCCTCTCCGGGATCCTGGGGGTCCCCCATCTCCGGTCTCCCCCCTTTCCGAGATTCCAGGGGTCCTGGGGCTCTTCCTGCTCTGAGGTCCCAGAGATCCTGGGGCTCCCCCCTCTCTGGGATCCTAGGGGTCTGGGGGGTCCCCCATCTCTGGGATCCCCCCCTCTCTGGGATCCCAGGGGTTTTGGGGGTCCCCCAGCTCCGATCTCCCCCCTCTCTGTGATCCCAGGGGTTTTGGGGGTCCCCCAGTTTGGTGTTCCCCCCACTCCGGGATCCCAGGGGTTTTGGGGGTCCCCCACCTCCGGGCTCCCCCCTCTCCAGGATCCCAGGGGTCCCGGGGCTCTCTGCTTTCTGGGGTCCCCCAGCTCCGATCTCCCCTCTCTCCAGGATCCCGGGGGTCCCACAGTCTGGTGTCCCCCCCCAGCCCCAAAATCCCCCAAAACACCAAGATGCAGCCCCAAAAGCATCAAAAAGACCAAGATACAGCCCATAACCCTCCAAAACATCAAGATACAGCTCATAACCCTCCAAAAACCAATATACAGCTGAACCCCCCCCCAGAACACCAAGATACAGCCCCAAAACCCTCTGAAACACCAACATACAGCCCAAAATCCTTCAAAAACACAAAGATACAGTCCAAAATCCTTCAAAACTTCAAGATACAGCTCATAACCCTCTAAAAAAACAATATACAGCTGAAAAAAGGGTCCAAACCACCAAGATACAGCCCCAAAATCCCCCAAAACACCAAGATGCAGCCCCAAAAGCATCTATAACCCTCCAAAAATAGGAAGATACAGTCCAAAACCCTCTAAAACACCAAGATACACCCCAAAAACCCCCCCCAGAACACCAAGATACAGCCCCCAAATCCTCTAAAACAGCAAGATACAGCCCCAAACCCTCCAAAACAAGAAGATACAGCCCCAAACACCACCCAGTTGTGGGTGGGAAAGAACTGGGAGTGTGATGGAGCACCCAGTTGGACCCCAAGGGGTGGGGGTCTGCAACCAGCCCCCCCCCCCCAGGTCCTTCCCCACCCTACAGTCTGGTGTCCCCCCCTCTCCGGGATCCTGGGGCTCCCAGGGGTCCCCCAGCTCCGATATCCCCCCTCTCCAGGATCCAGGGGGTCCCACAGTTTGGTGTCCCCCCCACTCC